CATCATATATACACATGGCAAGTACTCCCTTGTAAAATATGTCATATATACACGTGACCAGTACTCCCTTGTAAGATGTGTCATATATAGACATGGCCAGTACTCCCTTGTAAAAGGTGTCATAGATAGACATGGCCAGTACTCCCTTGTAAAATGTGTCATATATACACTTGACCAGTACTCCCTTGTAAAATGCATCATATATACACATGGCCAGTACACCCTTGTAAAATGTATCATATATAGACATGGCCAGTACTCCCTTGTAAAATGTATCATATATACACATGGCAAGTACTCCCTTGTAAAATGTATCATATATAGACATGGCCAGTACTCCCTTGTAAAATGTATCATATATAGACATGGCCAGTACTCCCTTGTAAAATGTATCATATATAGACATGGCCAGTACACCCTTGTAAAATGTATCATATATAGACATGGCCAGTACTCCCTTGTAAAATGTATCATATATACACATGGCCAGTACTCCCTTGTAAAATGTATCATATATACACACGGCCAGTGCTCCCTTGTAAAAGGTGTCATAGATAACATGGCCAGTACACCCTTGTAAAATGTATCATATATAGACATGGCCAGTACTCCCTTGTAAAATGTATCATATATACACATGGCAAGTACTCCCTTGTAAAATGTATCATATATAGACATGGCCAGTACTCCCTTGTAAAATGTATCATATATAGACATGGCCAGTACTCCCTTGTAAAATGTATCATATATAGACATGGCCAGTACACCCTTGTAAAATGTATCATATATAGACATGGCCAGTACTCCCTTGTAAAATGTATCATATATACACATGGCCAGTACTCCCTTGTAAAATGTATCATATATACACACGGCCAGTGCTCCCTTGTAAACGGTGTCATAGATAACATGGCCAGTACTCCCTTGTAAAATGTATCATGTTTACACTGGACAAGTACTCCCTTGTAAAATGTATCATATATACACATGACCAGTACTCCCTTGTAAAATGTATCATGTTTACACTGGACAAGTACTTCCTTGTAAAATGTGTCCTATAAACACTTGACCAATACTCCTTTGTCAAATGTGTCATATATACACATGGCCAGTACACCCTTGTAAGATGTGTCATATATACACATGGCCAGTACACCCTTGTAAAATGTGTCATATATACACATGGCCAGTACACCCTGGGAAGATGTGTCATATATACACATGGCCAGTCCTACCTTGTAAAAGGTGTCCTATAAACACTTAACCAATACTCCTTTGTAAAATGTGTCATATATAGACATGACCAGTACACCCTTGTCAAATGTGTCCTATATAGACATTGCCATTACTCCATTCTATAAGGAAAAAACGGTACTGGTATTAATGGTATCTCACTGTATTTAGGTCTAAAGTGAACTCTTTTATCACCTCAACAATGCCACATCCATGAAGATGGATGAATCTGTATCGAGGCAATGGCAGTAACATATGCCAAACAGAAACTCCGTAAAAGAGAAGTGTAAATATTTAGTGAAACCAGGAGTGATTCATTTCAACAGTTACTGTTTTGAGTCACACTCTCGCGCACAAAAAGAAACATTGGCTCAACAAGCACCTTGCAAGACTGCTAGGCCTTTCTGTAACTGCTACATAGAAGCCATTCCGATATGATTACGTAGCTTCATATCCAATAATGATAAATTCGGAAATTGTCAATTAAGTGCGCAGACTTTAGAGGCCTGTGTAACCGATATAAAGCAAGTCCCTGATTTAACTGGGAGATGAAGCGAATGCACTGGTAGTAATGAAGACAGGGAGGGGAACTCTTGCTAATTATGTCCGGTAAAAAGCTTCTCAATTTCTGAGTAGCCATGATATATTGATGCAGTGCATGCTAAAACAATTGATTGAGCACAACATTGACTCTTTCTCTGGCAATGAAATATCATGATTACAAAATCCAATTTTTAAGCGATGCGAAAAACGCCCTTCGGGATAAGAAAAGAAACTTAATTGAAATTTGCAGTGCCTTCTTGTGAGGCTATTGTGGGATATAGCAAATTAGTTTGTTGTAGGAAAGGTGTTACTTCTTTGGCATAACTAGCAAATCAAGAATTATATTCGGGAGGAATCTGGGATTCGAAACTAATGGAGGATCCTTGAAACTAAGGGAAGCAACTCTTCCTGGTATGTCTGAGACGACCTAGCTACACACTCCCCCCTTGGAAGTAAAACGTGTTTAATCCAGAATAATTCGGACACTTGACTAACCGGCTTAATGCTCACCGGGACGAGCTGGAAGAAACTACTTCTTTATACAAATCTCTTGTGTGGATAACATTAATAGGACAAATGGAGCCTTGTTATTGCTATGAGCCTTGCAAAGTGTCAACTTTGGAATAACAGTTCAATTTTCAAGATATATCAATTTGAACACCCGGAGGTCAAACCCTGTACATAATACACGTTTTATCCAGCAATGACGTAACATTATTTAACTAAGAAAACCACTGATATTACTACTTATTAAAATAAAACAATTATATGCTTGTATTCTTTTCTTTAAGAAGCACAGTTTGCACATGTTGTGTCTACTAAGACAAGAGCCTTTGTCCGAAATATGACTCGGTTCAACCAGCAGTAAAAACGGGTATAAGGCAGGATGGTCTGGTAAAGTGATTGTTAGCGCCTGACAAGAGACCATGGTTTGTATACTCCCCAGGGAGACGAAAATAAAAATCGAGTGCACACTGATCCATTGCCCGAGATAGTAATGCTAGCGATTTAAAAACGCACCGACATGTATGGAGGCCAGCGAGATATAAGAACACACATTAGTATTACTACTATTATTATTATTATTATTATTGTTGTTGTTGTTGTTGTTGTTATTATTATTATTATTATTATTATTATTATTATTATTATTATTATTATTATTATTATTATTATTATAAGGCATCCTTGCGTAACCAGGTAAAACAACATCATACCGTTATTGTCTGTGTGTCAAGTGTAAGCATTAGGTTTCACTAAAGATAAATTTGAGACTCGTGTACTCATGTTATTTTGGTATCTTGAGTATTAGGTTTTCGGTCTTACCTTTCTTTTATCAGCCTCAGGTTAGAATAACATCTCCCTCGTGGCCAAGAGGAACCGCAATGGCGGCCGTTTCTTAGCACAGGATAAACACATCGGGGAGGAACTTAAGAAGGCATAAACACCCCAATAAATATATGCCTTTGGGCTCAACACTTCAATAAAACCTTACAAATCTTGTAAATAGCGATTACATAGCTGTCAATCAATGTATATAACAGTGGCCGAGTACCAGTCAGCATTTATATGGATTGAACGTCGTGCCCTGAATGTAGTCGATATCAGTGTGATTGTTGTATGTGAAGGTCGATGGCCAGATAATCATCTGGTCAGCCGCGTGTGGGAGATACGGAATGCCTGTCTTGTGTTGGTTAGCCTTGAGTGGCCATTTACGCTGCTGTAGGCATTGATCGCTTTCCTCACATCAAATATCTAAAAGTGGTCGCTCATCCACGAGAAGAAAATCGTTTGAGTTCAATGGGGTAAGGTATGTTTTTAGGTCGTGTGTACGGTAAGGGAAAGCTGTTCAATGCATTCTTTCACTATGGTGCTGATTTGGGGACCAGCATTGCAACTGTGGTTGTGTAAGCAATGGGCATCGGGTAGTATAGTGTCAGCGATAATTCGAACACAAGTAACTAATATATCGGTTAAGACGAAATAACAGAATAACTCTAACAGAATGCTCCTTTGATATAGGTCTTATTCGATCCCTTTAAGTCGAAGCGTGATGAGTTGATATAATTATGGGATCGTTACTGCCCCCTTCCTTAAGAATACAGAATGATTTAACTTCATTCAGTCGACGTATCCATTATGATAAGGTTATGACAGGCTGAATATATGATGTACAGAAACATTGACAGATACGGTAACCTATACAATATGTACATGTGTAAGTCGGCCAAATAAACATGATGTAATACAAGGCGGAGTCTGCCATACAGGGTACAATATGCTTTTTTAGCCACATTACATATTAACGTTTTTGACTGGATATAACGGAACCCGCTTCACTCGCAATCCCATAACGCAATTTCGATTTGATATGCTATACTGTTGATATGCTGTACTGTTGCGATTTATTGAAACCTACCTGTAGTGTTATAAAGTAGATTTTAGATACCTTGCTGCGAACATGTTATATTCTGATGGACTAGGACAGATTCTTGTTCGGCGCTTGTGTGTAAATAGTTTTCTATTTTCGAATAACTATATGTCTATAAAACAAGCATCACATATGTCCACAAAGATTATACCTTTGCAGCTGATGAACTATTGTTTTGATGTCCCTATTTTGAAGAAACTTCCGCATCTATCTAAAAACACCAGCATGTGAACAAAACCAACAGAGACCTTTAAGGAAACACACACGTATCAGTGGATATGTGCGTTAAAATGTAAATATATAACCAGAGAATAATCAGTCCCAAATATATACCGAAACAGACTCCACTCGATGCAAAAGGCAAAACAGCGATAAACATTTCATGAATTGATCAATGAAATTCAGTCAGGACACCAGGTGTTCGAGAAACGGGTAAGTATACCCCACTGACAGTCACATAGTCCGCAGTCACATCGACTATGTTTAACTTGAAACCCTCTACATAAGGACACCTTTCCTTCTTTCATTGTTCCTAAGGCTATATGTGACTAACGAATGTATGTGAGACCATATGTGACTCAAGGATATATCAGCAAAACATTCTGTACAAGAGCCTTAAAACCACAAGAATATTTACGAACACAAACATCATCGCACTGTGAACCTTAATGGTACTGCACCTTTAAGACAGAATAAACCACTCGTACATTAGCTTCCGAGGAATCGATTCCCCAACCCGACGATGAAGCTGACCAGCACACGAGACTGGTATAAGTAGTTTAATCGGCCCTACCTTTCTCAGAGCACCTGCGTTCAGATGGAGCTTCTTGGATGACGAAGGAGTCGGCCGTTGAAATGCAATGACAGTGCAAGGAGCTTTTCAACACTGCCACATGTGCCCGAAGCTTTGTTTGAACTTTTATCAGAAGCAGGGAGGTTGATCCCAAGAGTACGAAACTAATTCTGAAAAGTGAACATAAAACGCCATGAGGTCACCCGAGACAAATCTTTAAGGGACCTCACAAATAGCCATGGGCATCTGTACATGGCTTGCAGTTTGAGAAGTCGAAACCACACATGCGGGAATGGTGTAATTGTGTTGTGAAATTGGTCATTCACAGCATCATAAAAGGACTCCCAAATGATCACACACCATTTTAGCATAGTTTCGTATCTCTCCTCCCCGGCGTTCCACGGGCATCTTTGGTCTAGTCAATTTGCATCCCCGACACTTGCTTACTGTCGCTGAAGGCCAATGTATGCCGGGAATGACCCGGGGGTCGTTGGTAGATTCGGATCTGAAGGGGGTCGGCTATATCAAGAAAGCGGGATGTAGTCACTCGTGAACGTGAATCGATACATTTTCCTATGTAGAAATCATTTGGGATCGGCGGAGTACTTCTAAATTCAGCATAGACACAGTGTGAGACTGGTCGCTTCACATTAGAACGCCTCTTCCATATATTGCGATTGGCGGAAGCAGCGCTAGTGTGTATGGGGATGAGTCTGGGACTGGCTTGTGGTAAATTTAATTTGTGCCGTAATTAGGACACACAGTATACTACAAGGTTTGGCATTATTCAGTTAGTTGGTAATTCGACCAGAAACAAGGCAATATTCATCACTTAACCCACATCATCTGTGTCAGCGAATAGATGACACGAAAGCTGCTTGGATTTGGATGAATTTAAAAGGTACCATTAACTAATAAGTAAAAATAATATACATGTGAAACTCGAACCTCGTAAATCGATGTATGATTTAAGAGGAGGTAATTCCCATCACGCTTTATATCGCACTCCCGCTTGTCGCGAACTACGGATGTATGGAAATATTTCTGTATCTCCAGCACTTCAAGTTAAAGTAACGCAGTATATGTAATAGATTTTAAAATCAGCCGGTTGATCCATTCTCAGCGTCCTTCTCGTTCTTTTGGATTTATTCATATTAATGATTTAATCGACGTGTTAAAATGAAGTATTGTTTAAAAAAGGTGTTAAATCAAGCTCATAAACTGACGCACTCGTTTGAGAGAACAGCCATTAAACACCGTCCTTTCAATGATGAGTGAGTGAGTGAGTGAGTATGGTTTTACGCCGCTTTTAGCAATATTCCAGCAATATCACGGCGGGGGACACCAGAAATGGGCTTCACACATTGTACCCATGTCGGGAATCGAACCCGGTCTTCGGCGTGACGAGCGAACGCTTTAACCACTAGGCTACCCGACCGCCCCTTTCAATGATGAACTCGCGAATGTACTGATGAACGCACACATGTGACCTTGTACGAATGAATGCCTCAAATTCCTGATACACACGCACACGCCCTTGAATTGATGAACTCCCAAATCTCTTGATGAACACACACATATGTACCCACATTGATGAACTCCCAAATCTCTTGACGAACACGCACACGCACATGTATTGATTGACTGCCAAATATCCTGATAAACACGCACCCATTTGGATTGATGAACTTCCAAAATCTTGATGGACACACACATGTCTCTGCAATGATGAACTTCCAAAAGTCGTGATGAACACACATATGTTCTTTCATTGATGAACCCCCACAGGTACTGACGGACACACACATGTGCTTGCAGTAATGAACTCGTTACTCGGACTTCACCATTTTGCATTCATAAACGCTCGCTTACAGATATCCTATTAACTGTCATCTTCCCGAGGCAAGTGAGTTAACTGACTATAAAAGTCCAGTTTCCACCCTTGCCGAACTAGGCTGGAATTATAGAGTCATATTTTGGCTGGACTAACGAGTCTATGCATAGTCCAATCAAAATCGGGTAACAAACTAGACATCCGGTTAATAAACAACATGGATTTTAACCTGCAGATTTCGGTCGACTGCATGATTTGCAAAGCAAGTGTACCGTCAACTGGGCGTCGACAGATATTTTCCAAATCTTTTCATGTTTTTAATCATGGTGCTCAAATGATTTGATGCTCTTTGCGAGGTAAAACCCGTTCTATTACAATAAAGATTTTGATTATCGATCAGATCATCTTGACTGAAGCAAATGCAAATGATATGAGAGGTTGAACCTGATTGGTCCGTAGGAGGGACAGAGAAGGGACATAAAGCGTAGCAGCCACTGGTGGCGCCACGATCAAGCAAATCAATTCAAACGTAGTTCGGCAAGGGTGGAAACTGGACGTTTACAGTCAGTTAACTCCCTTGCTTCTGGAAGATGGAACTGTGGGAATCAGAATAGCCTTTTCCTGTTAAAGAAATACGAAAACTGCCCGCTCTATCATGACCAGCCAAGAACGATCACTCGTGTGGTGATCAAAGCAGTAAAAAGTTCCAAAATATTGATAAACATTAATAAACACAAAAATAAAGGTGTCCTTGTATTAATCAACATTAATAAACACAGAAAGAAAGATGTCCTGGTATTAATCAACATTAATAAACACAGAAAGAAAGATGTCCTTGTATTCATAAACATTAATAAACACTGGAAGCGAGGTGTGCTTGTATTGATCTTAACGACATAAAACAATCGGCTGTATTCACAAGTACACGAAAACCTACTTTTTGGTTTCAGAGATGCACTTTATTTTTCAGTCGGTGTGAAGCCCAAACTAAAAGTGGCTTTCCTGAACTAGTCACCAAAAAACGAAAATAACTCAACTTGTAGTTGATCAACACTGTAGGAGTGCATTTCCTGGAGGCGATGTCACCCTAGAATAGCTTCCTTGTGTTGAATAATTGATGACACGAGAAATTCTTTTTTTTATGAACCAGTGATTTGGTTTGGTCTTTACAGCCACATTCAAGAATATTCCAGTTATATCACGAAGACCTGGAAATAATCGGGTCTGGATCAGAAAATCCAGTGATTGGAAATTACGAGCAAAAATCCACGCTGTTGGGGTACGATGACAGCAACCAACCAAACCACGGAGCATGACCACCCGATTAAGTCGTCTCGTACGACCAGCATAGGTTGCTGGGGAGCAAATTCTACCCGGAATCTCTTAAGGGTTTGCACCTATGAGCATCCAGAGAGCACCCAGAAATGGAATTGGGGAATACAAATATGCAGAAATTGAAAAGATTACAACAATATATCCAGAATTTAATACGATTACCCCAAAATAGAAACAGTGAGCAAGAATGTTTTTCCGCATTTATAGCACCATTCGAGCCATATCACAGCAGGGTAGATAATTAAAGCGACAAAATCCTTTCCATATCCAATAGAAATCTTTGCATAAAGCAGAGTCGATTGTACAATTCCTACTATATCACGAGCATGTGTTAATGAATCACTATCAAATAGTAATGATACCAGGTGTTCGCGAAAAGGTGAGTGTATCCTGCCCCATCGGTGGCAACATCACAAACACATGCAAAGGCAAGACAATTGTTCACCTGAAAAAACATGGGAACATATGGGACAAGTCAAACTAGGGACTTGCATCGGACATCATTTTTGTCACTGATGCGTCATTTTTGGAAATGTCCGCTACATGTCTACCGTAAAACATTTTGAAAGCTTTACTGAGGCCTTGAATTTTGTAACCTTGATCAAACAACTTCTGAGCAAGAGTTGGGTATCACACTCTTTACGTGTGGGAAATCGCACTTTGTGGTTAAAGCTACCACCCCTTATTATATATTGAAACGATAAATTGTTTGAATAACATTACCATAAGGCGTTGAATCGGATGGTAAACAATTGTTAGAGTGATTATTATTTAACAGACCTGCGAATACAAAAAAATTCTCCGTGACTACGTATGTGTTGGGAACATTAGCCCTGAGGTATCTTGTATTTTCATCATCTTACACAATATTATTAGCTGAAGTTATTTACGGTTATTTTCCCAGCTCCCCTGAAAGGAAACCGACACGATACATTTCTCATTTTATCGTGTGGTATATTTACTTACTGCGTACATCACTTGTATTTCCGTTCTATTTCGTCAACAAATCCCTATGCAGTTCAAATGCAAAAACCGACTGGTAATAATCCCTGGTTCAATGGACCACATGCGGAGCGGAACAATTGATGAGAAAAACAACCTAAAGTGGCAGGGTATGTATTACGTTCTGCATGCTGATAATGCAGCAATTACTTTCTAATATATTTCAATTACTGTTATTTCCGCCCGTCAACCCACTGCTATGCATCGGCAGGTTTACATTGTTCATTTCAACATCAAAGGATGCTTGTTATATAATCGGAAAACAAATTAGCATCGCTAAATATGTAACCAATTTTCAACGAATGGCAATTCCGGGTTTTTTCGATAAATTATTTGTTTGTTGTTTAACGCCGCACTCAATAATAGTCCAGCTATATGGCGGCGTTTTGTTAATAATAGAGTCCAGATCAGACAATTCAGTGATTGATATCATGGACATCGATCTACGCATTTGGGATACGATGACAACGAGTCTGACCACCCGATCCCGTTTGTCGCCTCTAACGACATGCATAGTCGCCTTTTACGGCAAGCATGGGTTGCTGAAGACCTACATGTATTCTAACCCGGATCTTCACGGGCCGTGCTCACAAGTACAGAGACTTATTTTCTATAAAATATGTTTGTATGACAATATCACATCTGTCTTGTGACCGCAGTGGGTTCTGTATGGTAAAGGGAGAAGGCGGTAATAAGTGCTGCACTTGTGCCCAATCCCTTTGTCTTTTTGGACAATAAAAAATGTTTAATAATATGGAAACTCAATTTGTGAATGGGGCCAGTCATGTCGTGACAAAAAGATGACGTCATGAAAAAACGGCAACTAGCCAATCAGATAATGTCAATCCAGTGATTGAATCATGATCACGATCTACGCATTTGGGATACGATGACATGCATCAACCAAGTCAGCGAGCCTGACCACCCGATCCCGTTAGTCGCCTCATACCACAAGCATGGGCTGCTGAAGTCCCCTTTTAACCCGGATTTCCACAGGTC